ACGATTTGCCCAATCCATATTCGGTGCTGAGACTAAATTTGGCCAAAGCAAGCCACCGGTCGGGGAACAGATAGGCCACCACATCATCCGATGCCAACATCGTAGGGCCAGATGGTCATTCCTGACACAACGAATCAGCGCACAAAGGCATTTATCTATTTTTTCTGTCCGGTTAAATTTAACGGCAGAACCCTGTGCACACACAAACTGTTTCTGCTACCGTTCTGTGAGTATGTCTCTGATGATGAATCCGCGGCGGATTTCCAAATGTCAGCGAATAAATATATTGTCCAAGCGATCGAGTAGTCCTCTACTTCTCAATTATTTCCTGGTGCTCGCATATTTGCTTGTATTTGCAAGGGAGAATAGAGTTAACAAAAGTTCAAGCAACCAATCAGGACTAATCAGGGGGAGATGGGAGGAAGTGGTAAGGAAGGGGTCAAATTCTAGTCGTAATTTGGGACCAGAGATGGATGGGGGAGGGGCTCCGTCAATTGGTTCATGTCGCCCCGTCGTTCCTGTCTCGCGCTTGTTGGAAGGTGTCAGAATGTAAGGTGTCACGGTCTGACGATAGCGTAGGCAACGTGGGGATGTTTGCCGTCGCTGTCTTGTCTCCGTCTCGTTCGTTCGCCTAACTTGGCTTCTTGAATGCGTATAATCGCCAAACTTAAATAATCCAATGAAAGGAGTTATCTCAAGACATGACATGCTCATCGTTATTATGACGGATAACGGTTTATAGTTAACCTCTTCATTGTTCGAAGAATGTTGCCAGAAATGGGACATTTGACATATCACATTGTTCCCTTTTACCGGCAGCAAAACGCCCAGTCAGAAGGTTTCCTTGATATATTTCAGAGCAAAATGAAAAATACATGGAATTCGGGCGTTAAAATAGACTAGGTCAACCGTTATTTCTTGCTTACAGAAAACGCCCGAACAGTGGTCTCGACGGCCAATCACTAGCGAAGCGTATTTTTCGGCCGACAGCTTGATGTAGAACTGCATTACCTAGAAGCTAAGGTCTGCGTTTTCAATCCGCCGAAACTACAGTCGGGAAGGAGAAGAGGACTTCGCAAATGCCTTCAAAGCCCGGGGGGAACTGTTGATTGAAGGCACAACGAGGAAAGCCAGAGGCGTTGTCTTAGAACTGGAAACAGATAGTGGCAAAAGCAAAATGCATAGGAACCAACGCTGGCGCCGGTTCACCAGAGAGTTCCATGGAATACTTTATTTACTATGCGATACGCTCGAGATTTTAACACCCAGCATCACAAGTCAGCACACACCGTCTGCCGCCCATCGGATCAACAGAAGAGTATAACCGCCAGATAAGCTGGGCTAATACTTGGGACGAAGCGGTACAAAGTCAATGTCTCGGAGACCGTGTGTTGTCGAGTGGTGAGGCAAAAGGGAAAACGTAATCACGCCAACAGGCCAACCCGGGGGCAGAATACCTACGTTAGTCAGGCTACGTAGTTATTTGAACAAGGTGATGATCACGTAATTGGAAACATTTATTGACGTCATATAAATTTACGATCGAGCATGAGAAGGACGACACACTAGCTTTCTTCGACGTGCTTATACGCAGGCGGGCAGATGGTTTCATTCAAAGATCCATCTATTGGAAAATCACACGGAAAGGACAATATATGCACTATCTTCGTCTCGTTCCGATTCACTGGAAATAAAACTTGGTTTTGTGCCTTTCCAATGAAGCGGCTACAATATGTTCTTCGGATACGATCGATCAAATATGAGTAATCTCAGAAAATGTCTCTTGGAACCGGCTATCCAGAGAAATACACGGATAAGTATCGCAACCGCAGACAAGAAAATAATCCCGAAATAGCAGTGCCCAAAAGGCCAGTAAGTTTCTTTCTCCTTTTCGAGGGTGACAAAGAACGAAGCGAAGGCTTCGAAACGAAGGCTTCAATGCATGATTGAAAGAACTCACCCCACCTCTAAATTGTTGTACATAATCACAAGAACGGCTATTCCAGTTAGACCAACTAAAGAAATTCTGCTTATGCACGCCAACTCAAACCGCGTTAACGAGTTTACATGCACTTGCTTGTGCAAATACATGGGGCACCCGCAAAGGCAGTCGGCAACGCGGTCAGCTGAACATGTGCCGAAGTGCTTGCTAAGGCCGGAAAATAAAATACCTAAGAGTTCAAGCACGAAGCACCTAATGGACACTACCCATACGGTCGACCAAAAAATAGCATTTAAGGTCGTACTTCGGGCGACAACAGGGTATCCTTTACGATTTGCGAAGACCACTGCAACATGTAGGAAAAAACCTGAACTGTCTAAGCAGCTGGATCGTGTGATCAACCTCGCATTACCGTGGTTACAATCAATAAACTCATTCCCTCTCACGCCTCCTTGCTCCCCCCTAGGACATACTGCTACCCCGCATCTTTAACTACGTCTCACAGGCTTTCATGAACATAAAGCAACATGAACTGTCATGCTGTGACAACTACTTCCCCTCTTCTACCCCCTCAGCATGCGCCCACATCGAAGACTAATAGTTTGTACTCTTTTTACCTAT